GCGGTGCTAAGATAACCTCTGGGGGGGGGGGGGGGTAAAATGCTTGTTCGGGTTATGTCGCCTCTCTTGTATTCCCACCCGCTTGTCCCTCCACTCTTCGACCACTCCGTATTGTGCATGTTTCGGGCGCTGATGCCTTCAATACCCCATCTTGCGCTGAGGCTTCGATGCCTTGGCGCCTGAGCAGTTTTGGCAACAGGCGGACGCTAGTTGTTCTGCAGCGGCCTTCTGCGTCGTTTCTATATTCGAATGTGGCTTTGGATTTTCATGCACGCTCAGGACTTCAGCCAGCACCAACCATTTCGATTTGAGCTGGGCGCGGACTCCAGAGCCGCCCAGTAGTTCCAATCTTCAGTGCCTCTAGCGCGTCCCCATGGCTTGCACACTCATGTACTTGCTCATTAGTGCGGCATGCCAGCCACGAGAGGTGGGAAAAGACTTCGGCATTGCATTCTGTTCAAACGTGGTCTGTCACCACTGAGGCTGCATCGATCAATCGGACGAACTAGTTACGCACAGTGGCACCGAATGTATCTGCACACGCCTTTGCGTACCCCCCAGGACCCTGTTTTTAATTTCGGGCCGATGACGGCAGTCATCTGGGGGTGTTGATGACGTCACGTTTCGCGCCGGCGGCGTCTGGGAATGCGTAGTAATGACCGAGGGCGGGTAGCAGCAGCATGTAGGTGGCGATTTGGACCATAGCGCCTGTGTACACCACAGTGCCTGCGTGCACCACAGCGCCTGTGTACTCCACACCGCCTAACACAGCGCCAGTGTGTACCACAGTGCTTGCGTGCACCACAGCGCTGGTGTACACCACAACGCCTGCGTACACCAGAGCAGCCGTGTGCAACACAGCACCAGTGTACACCACAGTGCCCGCGTGCACCACAGCGCCTGTGTACACCATGGCGCCCGTGCGCACCACAGCAACCATGTGCAACAGAGCACCATTGTTGCATATAGAATTTTAGAAGGAGCCCTTATGACAAAATGAAGCGCCTGTGGATTCCACAGAGAAGAATTGTTTCAGATAGGAGACGGAGAGAAATCCCGATGGAACAAGGAGCGACGCTGGAATCTACGAGTCCTCTCGAGTCCTCCCGCATCATCCTGACTCCTCCCATTTGCGCCCAGAAGGTTCCCGCAGAATTGGCCGTCCGAGAACCAAGCGGACTGATTCTATTGCAGCGCCGACCCGCACGACGGGAGGAACGGTGAGGGAGGAGGAGGAGGAGGAGGAGGAGGAGGAGGAGGAGGAGGAGGGAAGAACATCGCATTCTTTTACCCGCACTTCCCTGGCGTGGTGTTTAGCGGTCCGCAGCAGATCCTCACCTACATGCTCCTTCTATTTGTCCTGTGCACGCAGGCGCTGTGGCGTGCATCAGCGTTGCGTTGCACGCGGATGCTGCGGTGTACACAGGCGCTGTGGTGCACGCAAGCACTGTGAGGACACAAGCGCTGCGTTGCACGCGACCGTTGCGGTGGACACAGGCGCTGTGGTGTACAGAGGCGTTGTGGTGCAGATCGTCACCTACATGATGCTTCCTCTTGGTTCCGGTCATCCCTAGGCATTCCCGGACGCCGCCGGCGCGGAACGTGACGTCATTTGGGGGAGGGGGGGAGGGGGGGGGCGGGGCCGATGACGGCCGCTGCACCAGAAAATTGAAAAGCAGGCTCCAGTAGCCCTGGGGGTATGCGCAGTCTGAAGGCTCTCATGTGGCCCTTTTGCGTCCGCCTCGGGGCCCGCGAAGCCCATGGAAGCCCGCACAGGCAGGAACACCCAACAACAGGTTTTTGTGTTTTTGTTGACTGCCATTTTGAGAACGCCCGATGAGGAGAGGTGATTTGGCCATCCCGGGCCATCTGTGCACTCCATGGGGCAGTCGTGGACCATCTTGGGGCCACCTTGGCACCTTCATGCCCCCCCCCCCCGAAGCCGCCAAGGTTCTCGTATGGTGATGCTCCTCGCTCCGACTGCGACGTGCCATGACACGCACCACGTGATTCTGAGACCACTTCGTGTAACCGTCAGGCTTGCATCTAAAGCCGATGGGGGCAAGTTAGACGTTGGTTTGCTGAGCACGCGCACGATTTGTGCCATTGCATTTTAAGGCCACATTGATTTTAGCGCCCTGTGGTGCACGCGGCAGAAAAAATCGTGATGCCCGCCTCCGCTCGCCAGCATTACAGATCAGTGCACTATGGCTGCATTTCTGCATCTCTATATGTCGCGCGACTCGTAGCTTGGAGGCGGTTCGAAGATATACCCCAACCATGTTAGGTTGCGTATGCGAATTTACCGATCAGGGGTGTTGGTGTGCGTACGCATCGTGGGATCTGGTTGCATCCAGGCTGGCGTCCAGGAAGCACTCGAGCAACGTGCACTGCTCTTGCATGCTTCCGCTCTAGTGTCGAGCCTTTCGAGCTGGCCTAACTACCCGAGGTGCCTCCAAGACGCCTCGAGGCGATCGTGAGAGGGCCTAGAGAGGGAGGAACCATTCACCTTTCTTTTGCTGTAGCCCACTCGCTTGCCGATTCGATCCCAGGGGGTCGAACGCAGATCCGAGACTGCCTCGGAGGCCTCGCGAGGCCCGCGGGCCGGCCCCTCCACAGCTTGTCTCCCTGGAGGTCAGGGGCGCCCAAGCCAAGGCAACAGATTCCAGAGGACTTGCCTCCCTACGACTACTCTACTACTACTACTACTACTACTACTACTACTACTACCACTACTACTACTACTACTACTGCTATTACTACTACTGATATCACTATTACTACTACTAGTACTAGTACTACTACTACTACTGCTACTACTATTTCTACTACTACTACTACTACTACTACTACTACTACTACGACTACTACGACTACTACGACTACTACGACTACTACTACTACTACTACTACTACTACTAGTACTACTACTACTACTACTACTACTACTACTACTACTACTACTACTATCTACTATTACTA